GGTGAGGTATTTCAACTTAGGCAGTGATTCCCATCCTGAACATAATACAGGAAAATGTCAATGTCTTGAAGCATGTACTCAGAGCAACCACCTTCTGCAAAGAATCCAAGGAATCCAATTTCTTTCAATTAGACTGCAAAAGAAAGATAAGGAGAGAATGAGTAAATAGCCTGTGCAGTCAGCTTCAAAGGAAGATGTTGGAGCAGCTAAGCAGTTCCAAGATCCTTAGCATAAGAGTCTCAGGAAATTTCACCTGAATATTAGGAAATATAAAGTAATGATATTACTAATGGAATGCAGCTGGTTTCAATACTGAACACTTCCAGAATACACAGAATACATTTTACACTTTTTGCAAATAGTATGTCCCTTGGCAAAATGATTTTGCTTTTGTATTTTCACTTTAGCAATTGTATAAAGATATAAGAGAAAAACTTATTCCCTCTTACCTTACTGATGAATAGTGACAAAGAGACAGGTAGTTAAAGATATTACCTTTCTTTTAACACTAAGGGGCCACATGCAGAATCTAATAATGCCACAGAAGCCCTTCCCATGGTTTTTCTATTAGAAAACAGTAGGCATTTGTTTTTTCTATCATTTTTTCAAATTCATTTGAGAAATTTTCACACCTTGATAGCATTCTTAGATTTTGTACATCTGAAAGGCAAAAAATATTAGTGACTGCATTATTCAGTTGCAGTAGTCTCTGAATGGTGAACATTAGTCTCATGAGTGTTAAATAACTGTGAAAGTTTATACTCATATTTGAACAAAGGACTTCAGCTTCTCTTTCTGACAGCTTATATCTCTGAATGAGAGGTGTAAATAAAAGAAAAAATGGAAACGTACTTGTCCTATTATTACGTGCTCTTCAAAATACTCTTACCCCATCAGTCCTATAAGTTCCTTTCAGTTGGTGGAAGGCATCAATTAGGTCACCCCAAAACTTCCTCTTTTCCAGGCTGAGCAATCCCAATTTTCTCAATCTGTTCTCACTGAGAGAAGTGATTTGCCCCTCTACCCCAATCTTGTAGGACACCACTCGGACTGCTGCATCCAGCTCTGGGGTCTTAAACAAAAGATATAACAGTTTCACTGTTTTGTTTTTTTTTTTTTTTTTAATTATAAAACATAGAATAAGCTGTTTCCTGAAATTTTCTTTGAAGTTCATGACTACAGATTCACGTTTCCCACTAGCAAAACTTTTAACCCAGCTTTGTCTGTCTATTAAATAGTCAAAGCTTAAACCACACGTTGAGCCTAACAAATTCCATTGAAAAGACATGCTTATCCTTACTCCTAACTTTGTCATAGTAAAAGTAGTTGACAGTATGAAATGCACACTAAATCAGATTTCCCTACTGAGAAACTGCTAAACTATGATATTTTTGTTGTTGTTGTTAATCTATTTATCTTTCCTTAGTCTTTTGAAAAAGTATTTAGATACAAGATTAAAGATTTGGTAATACACATTTCACAGTTCTTGTCTTTTGAAAGCAAACCTCAGTCAAGGGCCATGTAATCTAAATAGTAACTTTTTTCTCCCTGGCACTGGTACCAGAACAGAGCTGTCTTGCCTACATTTTCACTAATCTTTCTGCTGACCTTTGAAGCAAGGAAGCAAAAGAGATCGCTAAAGCAGCCTTAATAGCCTTGTAGGATGGGAAAAATAAGAAAACGGAACTGCTAAAAGTAATAGAGGTCAAAAATGAATCGGTAAATCTGATTTTGGCCAAGTTAAACATGTACAAGTCAGCACAGGATATTTACTCTTTCATAAGTGACAGAACAAAACTGACTGAAATTGCAGTTCACTTTTATTTCTTATGGAAATATAAATATTTAACCTGATGCTTTATAACCTACAGATCTTTCTGTGGCTTAGTGCTCTCTGTATCCCCAAAAATTGGTCTGAGATCCACCCCTCACTGCTCAGGAATATTTTTCAAGAATATGGTAATTAAAAAAAGGAACAAGTTTAAATTAAGGATATAAGACACAAAACAACTGAAGCCTAAGCTCCTCGTGTTTCAAAAGGGTAGTTATAACTAGCATTCGTTGCTTTTAAATATGATACATTTGCAAAACAAAGGACTTTTTATTGTCTCCCTTTCTTAATCACTACATGGCTATCAAAAGATGAAAAAAGACAGAGTTGGAATGAAATTTAATTTAATTCTGAAATTCTCCCACATTTTAAAGTTTAGTGTTGTTTAGAGATATCGTTTCAGTGGGAATTTTATACCTACTGATATCAATATTGATATAGAGATATCGTTTCAGTGGGAATTTTATACCTACTGATATCAATATTGATATAAATATAATATATAAAATTGATATTAATATCAACATTTTTAAATGAGACGCATACATGCTTTTTTAGGAAAACAGTTCTTTCAAACCTGAGGAAAATTCTGGGCTCAAAGGTTTTTCCACAAAATATCATTTAGTCTAGTAAATGAATTTATTTTGTCCTTCAAACAATATATTGCATATATCTGTGAAGCATTCTGTGTGTGGCATTAATCAATATGGGTAAGAATTGTGTATTCTGTGCTATTCTACAGTCCTATGGTTTGTCCAACTAATTAACGTATCTGGCACAAACCAAGAACTTACATTGCCAAATATGTGAGACCCTGTAATGCAAGCCAAACACTGAACTGCCACTGTCTCAAAAAACCCCAAAATTCTTCCTTGAAATCCCTGAGGGCAACAATTACTAGAAAAAAAAAATAAAAATTATACACACAAAGAACAGTAAATAATTACTGCAAGGATGTGAGAGGGCATGGTTTGAGCAGTTAGAACATTTAAGATGGAAAGAAATGTCTTCAGTTATTGCCAGTACAATAACTGAAGCTACTGTTGTTATTAACTTGGTCTGCAACCTGCATAGTAGATGAAATGGATAGGACAACAGTGAATGTAAGAAAATTGGCATAATACTGTGGTTTTGTTTTGTCAACTAAAACTGTTTCTGGTGTACACATTAATACTGATCTGTACAAATATTTTTCATATTTTGATATAGCTTTGGGCTACATAATATGAAAAAGTCAAACCACTTAGAAGCTTTTGAGAAAATTGACATAATTTACTTTCACTCAGTAGAAAGGCCACAATATTTTAGTGGTTTTGTGAAACTGAAATCTGAAAGACTGAAAGGTACTAGGAAAAGAAAAATTATGTTCTTTCCCCTAGTGTTAAATAAGTCTATGTCAACATTGAAAATCACCAGTAGATTTTGAGATAATTCAGAGGCCTTTAAGGACATGATTTTTTGTACATTACTGAAAGACAAAATTTTGTCAAATTACATAGTGGCATAATTGCATGAATGTCTTTGTTTTGTACCTTTATTTTAATCACTTCACTACAGTTCAAAATAATACAGTTATAGTGAAGGATTACAAAGATATAATACCAAGTATCAGCTGATTATAATTTCAGTTTGATTGCATCAACTGATTTTGACCAAAGGACAAGCTAATAAAAAGATACCAGCATAACATATGAATGTTCTTTTTAACAATATACTTGAGGTGAAAATGTGAATCCTTGTAATAATCTTAAAAAAAAATACAAAATAACAAACAAAATAAAGAATTAATTTTCCAAGGGTTTTTTGTTGCTAAAAATACAAATTTGGTGATGTTGGTAGAAAACACCTTTTTAGTTTTCTTTTTGTAATTTGTGATGTTTATGTTGGGGGGTGTTTTTGGGTTTTTTTGAAGAGTGGGATTATCTTTCCTTCAAATCTGCCCTCAGTTACGTAACATTAAATCCTTTATTGTCAATTTTAGTATTGGAAAACAATATCTTTATTTATCCTTGAGACTGAAAATCTTAAAATCTGTGTTATATCAAATGAAGCTACCAAATCTTTTAACAGAGACATGACCTGTCACACAGCTCTAATATATAAATCCTGAACAGAAAAATGCCCATTATTTTAATTTTTTAAAAATTATAATTTTAGGGGAAAAGAAAGTGCTTGTTAGTAGATCATAAGAGTTATTCTTAAAGAATTTATTAATATTTATTTTATCAGGTAATTTTAAAAATTATTTCAAGTAAGTCTTCATAAAAACTTTACTGTAAATAAAACCACAAACTGCAGCATTTCCAGCTCAAGTATATTGTTAAAAAGAACATTCATATGTTATGCTGGTATCTTTTTATTAGCTTGTCCTTTGGT